CAAAACAAACAACATGGTCCCACCCAAAATGCTTCATTTGTGTCTTAGTTGCTTTGTTATCGTGATTACGTTGCAGAATAAAGGTTTCCAGCGCGAATTGGCATATACTGAAGGACATGATGTTTAATGCAAAAACCCGATAGTAAAAAGTAAGAGGCTGCCTTGCCTACTTCTTTTTTCATCTTATAGTGATTTTTTTTTACTTGAGCGCAACAGTATCTTGTCCTCTGTTCACTGGAACACGGTGCATTTGAAGTAAAATAGGCATCAAATAAATATATTGGGCATCATCTATTCCCTAAAGCTGAAGAAGAGGCGAGGAATGGCATGGCATAAAACTAACTGGAACACTTTTCAAGGCCTTCAATAGATGCCTGGAACAGAAAAAAAAAACTCATGACAATCCATAATAGTGCGCCTGTTGCCACGAAGGACCACTGGCTCTTGAAGTCTACTAATCGCCATTACGCCTACACAGCAAAAATTTTTACACCCAAAAGGGTGTAAAAAGGGTGCGAGAAAGCACCCTTTGTAACACCCTTTAACACACATAAATGGTCGATTGAAAAAAAAGCACCCATTTGTTTGGGTGCTTGCCTCGATAGCACCCTAAAATAGGCTCTAAGGGTGCTTTTGTGCCTGAGAAGGGTGTAGGTGACGATTCATCAGATAAAATATGCAGCATAAGAAGAACACATAATTATAATATTTGGGATGTTTGTCTCAAAAACCTCGATGTGATTATGAGGGTTGTCGTAGTGGAAAGCTCTACAGATTTTGACCAATTGGTGTTCTTTAATGGGCGCTGATATCGCAGAGTGCACAGGCTTCTACCTTTTCGCCTCCATCTGAATTCGACTGCCACGGCCGGCATCGAACCCGCGACCTTCGGATTGGCGGTCGAGCAGCGTAGCTACTGCACGAATATGTGGACCTTGCGTTGAATGACGGCCCAAACTTAGAATGTGTGAAGGTGCTCTCCGAATACAGCAGAATGCCAGCAGAAGCAAATCGCGTTTCACCTATAATGGCAATTAACTGCAATCCACGTTACGAAAGCTTACCTTAGCGTTGGTTATAAGCTACATGTTTGCTGTGGATTATATACAGGAACATAATGTTCGCCCGAGTATGGGTGTGTGTGCGTGAGTCTGCGCATGTGTTCGCGTGTAAGCGCGATTGTGTGTACACCCGTGCATGTGTGTGTGCGCGTGTATGTGCGAGTCCGTGCTTGTGTTAAGCGTGCCTGTGCACATGTGTACGCCCATGCATGCGTGCGTTTACGGTCGCGTGTGTGTGTTGCCGTATGTGTGTATACGTGTATGTGTGTGCGCCTGTGAATAAGTATGCGTGTGTATCAGCCCGTGCGCCCTTAAATTTCGTGTGTATGTGCGGGGGGGAGGCACTGCTTCTTATTGTTTAAGGTCCCACACCTGTTCAGACTGGGAGTCTGTATATGAGATGGCTTAAAGAATGGCGGTTGTCAACGCACTGTACATGGACTATTCAGTACATGGAAAACAGCTGCACATTTTCGTACCTGATCGTTGCTTACGAACTTGCTGTGGTAGCTGATTAGGTCCACTGAGGTGCTTCTACGCTCGAAAACGTGGGTTATGACCAATTCCCACGGAAAGCTGTCACTGCACTTATGCACAACCATCGTTTATATTAACAACGTTTAACAAGAACGTGCCCTGCCTTTGCTACAGGTGCTTAGCTAGCTCATTGGGTAATCATATGGAATTATGTGCTGATCATGTGGTCAGCAAAAAGTTTGTCATAACAACCTCGGCACGTTTAGTGGTGCGTGACAACCCTTCTAAACATCCGCGACTGATTTGTTCCAGCTTCGACTACGCATTCAGTGTTTGCGGCACCATACGCGGAAGTGCCAGACACAGACAATGCAAAAAGAAATTCCTCTCGAAAAAGGTGTAGCGATGGTCTCCCGCTAATGCCACCGAGGACGAAATAATTACTGTTTCTGGCCGTTCCTTGGTGCACTTTGTTTTCCGCAAGTTTTGCTTCACTATTTTACTATTTTTCGCCCACTGCAATCGCATTCCGTCAAAATACTCCAAGAATCCGAGGCTGGTAAATAACCTGCGTCGCTGTGCGACTGGCTGGAAGGAGAGTTGCCGTTTACAAGGAGTCGATCCGCGTCGAGAGGCCGTCCGCCGTATATGCCTCAGCGTTCGCCTTTCGGCGCCGTCCTGGCGGGTTTCCCGCTCCCCCCCCCCCCCCCCCCCCGCTAACCCCGGCCAGCGTTGCTCCCACAACGGCGGCGTAGATAAGCGAATAGTTGCGTCACCGAACACCTGCGTCGACAGCTGCGGCGCCGCCGCCAGTGCCTCCTCTTTCTCTCTCTCAACGTCGCTCTCTCTGTCTCATCGTCTTTCAAATGCGTTGCGTTGGTCTGGGGTCTTGGTCACTGTGTGTGTTCTAGCGAACAGGCGCTTATTCAATGGTGGTCACGCATGACACCGTGTTCGAAGTGACGCTCGGATTAAGGAATATTCATGGAGTGGCGGACAGGGACAACGTAAAGCCCCTAGATGTTGGAAAGTAGCGACGCTCCTTTATCCACGCCGGCACTCTCTCGGCGCGCCGGCAACCTCCTCTTTTTTCACCCCCTCTTTCGAGGAGCCCGCGCATCCCAAGCGCTGAATGGCTGCGGCGGGCGATACCGCCCAGTCAGAAGACCCTGACGTCACGAAAAGCGCGCTTTTCGTCAATCACGCACGCCATGAACCCTCCAGGCGCCACGCCAGCCCTGCCGCTCTGAACGTGTGTTTTTTTTTTTTTTTTGCGTAGAATCGTGAGCTTCGTTTTTCGTGGCAATGCCTGGCTGTTGCGCGTATCAGTGCAGCAGCAGGTCAGAGAAAGGAGTAAGATTATTTTATGTCCCCCGAGGAGATAGGAATAGGAATGCCGTGCGCAGAAAGCAGTGGATCCACAACATCGGGAGAAAGGACTTCGCCCCTTCTAAACACGTCGTTCTTTGCGAGGTTAGTGTTACCGATTTCGTTAAATCTCTAGATAAAGTCGTACGAAGATTTTAATGCTCTTTGCATCGCTGGACTCTCCGTTCAGTTTAATAGCGAGCACATATAAATATGGATATAACTGGGTCTGAATGAGTCGCTGAGCTTTTTTGTAATTCTCTGTGCCCTGAGATAGTTTTTTTGTGTTTTAGCGCGTGCGTTAGTTTTCTTAATGTGTGTAATTTGTAAATTAACGTGTGTAATTCCTACGCATGTGTGTGTGTGTGTGTGTGCGTGCGGGTGTGCGTTTATGTGTGTGCATGTGTGCGCCTGCGTGTATGCGTGTGTGTATGTATGCGACTGCATATGCGCGCTTATGTGTGTGTGTATGTGTGCGCCTGTGTGTTCGCGCGTTTCTGTACGTCTGTATTCGCGCGTGTGTATGTGCTTGTGCGGACGTGTGTGCGTGCGTTTGTCTATGTATTCGTGCCGGTGCGTGTGTGTGTGTGTGTATGTAAGCGTGCGCCTGCGTGTGCTGTGTTCTGCGTGTGCTGTGCTGCGTGTTGCGCATGTCTGCATTCGGGCGTGTGTATGTACGTATGCGCACGTATGTGTGTGCGTGTACGTGTGGGCGCACGTATGTGTGTGCATGTGTGCGCCTGCGTGTTCGCGCTTTTCTGTACGTCTGTATTCGCGCGTGTGTATGTGCGTGTGCAGACGTGTGTGCGTGCGTTTGTCTGTGTATTCGCGCCGGTGTATGTGTGTGCGTGTGTATGCGTGCTCCTGCGTGAGCTGTGTTCTGCGTGTGTTGTGCTGCATGTGCTCCGTGTTGCGCGTCTGCGTTCGCGCGTGTGCATGTACGTATGCGCACGTATGTGTGTGCGTGTACGTGTGCGCCTCTATGTGCGTGCGTTTGTGCTTGTGTATATGTATGTGCGTGCGAGTGTGTATCTGTGTGCGAGCGCTCGTGCGTTCGTGTGTGCTTGCGTGCTTGTGTGTTCGTGAACCTTGGGCTGGATACTTGTGAAGTCAGGAACTCGTTTACTGTTGTTGCGTGCTGTCTGTATCTTTACAAAGTTTCAATACGGTTATAGTATTTTGTTGTTGTTTACGTACACTTCATGTTTCGAAGGCTTGGACCCTAATATATAAGTAGGTAAATGACGTTTCGTTTTTGTTACATGTGTAATAAAAATGTGCATGCTTGCACCGTTTTTTACTCCAAGAGTGAAAACGAATTCGAATGGGAGAGATGTGTTTGAGATGTGTTTGTTACTATGCGTATACTCATATATCACGGTCATGTTTCAGCTCCATTTCACCAATGATCAGTTTGAGCCGAAAGTATTGGAAGCCCATGGACTGAAAAAATTGAAGCCCAACGCAATTCCTACTTTGTTCTCGCATCGGCCGCCGCCAAAAGAACGAAAACCCCCGTCAAAGAGGTTGGAAATTCGCAAGAAATGCTCAAAAAAACGTAAGGCACTCTTCAGTGACGTCCCCTTATTAAATATAGCATTCTAATGCGTATCTTAACTACATAATGGAACACAAGTGACGGAGAAATACTGTTGTTCGAAATGAGACCATCACACTGAATGGTGATTAAAGAATACACACACGGCGCTGAAATGCGGAAAATATTGTAGTTTTTTGCCATATACCTAAGCACGATGATTCGATCTCAATCCAACCTTTATAATTATGTCAAAGTGTAGCAGAAAAGTCATTGTAGAATTCCTGTTACAGAAAGCCACGTAAACTATGGAGGGCCGCTCGACGCCGAAGCGCCGAAAGTATTTCATAAAAAGCACGAGTTCTGTTGCGAGTGTCCATCTTGTGATTTGACCTTTCTTTGAATTACGTGATTCAGCGGGTTTGTAATACATGTGGGCGTATTCTGGTTGTATCACAATAGGTGAGGAATCCGTACTGGAGCATACCACAAGCAAACAAGGAACGTTTGCTGAAAATCAGTGTAGCTCCCCAGCATCGGCAGACCCTGCTGGCTCCGCTTCTTCTGCAGAGGTAGCAGAGCCCGAAGTTAACGAAGTTTGCGAAAACGAAGTTAACCAGCTGGTGGAATCTCCTTTTGAAATCGTCCACGACAACTCCTGTAAGAGTCGCCTGAATGATTTGTGTGGAATGCCACCGTAATTTTGTTTCTCAAAAATATTTCCACCTGTCCTTTTCGTGTGCAGCCCATGACAGATTTAGCCCTGAGGTCAGCAGCAACGCAACTCAAGATATTGCAGCAGTTGATAATGGTAAACCAAACGTTCCTTTTTTTTATTTTGGGGTCTAAGCATTGACATTTCACCATCCAAACAGGCTTCCCTGGAACTACATGTCAACCGGCGATGAACGCAACCAGTACTGCACGACCTGTGCTTTACACTTGTAAGAGACGAGCTGTTGAACACTTAGACTTATCCTAATTTGTAACATGTGATATTGAGGGCTTACGTCTGAATTGCTTTCAGCGTGCCAAGAAGCAATCCAGGGACGAATTGCGGAGCTCGAACGTCTACAGGAAGCTACCGCGAGGAAACTGGCGCTCGCTAGGAAGAGGTATCTTAAAAGCGAAGAAGAAAAGGAAGAAATCAAGAAAAGGCTCAAAGGACTTTTTAATGATGACGAAATGAGGTCGATGGAACGACTGTCCGCGCAGGGAGCGCGATGGGAAGCAGGCACACTCGTCAAATCGCTGCAGCTGCGCCTGGCGTGTGGTTCCCGAGGATACGGACTCCTGAGGGAGTTCGGATATCCACTCCCGTCGGACCGTACGCTTTAGCGCCACATTCAGCACGTCAAGTTTCAACCTGGATTACTGAGAGATATACTGGAGCCTCTAAGGGCGAAGGTATGGCTTGGGTAAAACGCTTGCATCACCAAATTTTTTGTGTCAGCAAATAGTAGCAAACACAAATACTGGATACTTGAACCTGTGGTTACGTCTGGAACTTCTCGGGGGAAAATGATTTTGGCCCATTGCTATAACTTGACACATGTCTTTCTAATCTACTAAAACTTCTGTAAAATGACTTGTTTTTTCTTCGTCTGGTAATTCCATTGTGCAGGTCAACCTTATGCAACCTGAAGAACGCCATGCTTCGTTGATGATCGATGAGATGCAGATTACACCAGGGCTCGTATATGACCATTCCCGCTGTAATGTGATGGGAGCTCCTACGTTACCACTGGCCGACGGATCGCTCCCAGACGACTGTCTTGCTACCCACGGCTTAGTTTTTATGCTCGGGGGATTCTCATCTAGGTGGAAGCAGACAATTGGTTATCATTTAACTGGAAATTCGTTTGACGCGAACAGCCTAAGAAGCGAATTGATTAACATAATAACGGCTTGTGAGTCGCTCGGATTAAAAATTCATGTGCTAGTATCCGATATGGGTGGCGGAAATCTGGCATTATGGCGACTGTTCGGTATTCGTGCAGGAAAGTATAGCCGGCCATCGACTAGCTGTGTTCACCCTTGTGATCAGTCAAGGCGACTGTGGTTTATGCCAGATGTGCCTCACCTTTTGAAGAGCCTTAGAAATCACCTGACAAGAGGCCAGGCTATTTACCTTCCCGATGACATCGTGAAAATGCATCAACTGCCTACAAACTGTGTTGATCTTCGTTATGTGAAAGAACTTATTGAACACGATGAAAAAAGTGAGATCAAGCTTGCTCCTCACCTTAACTCGTCTTGTGTTGAGCCAAACCATTATGACAAAATGAAAGTGAAATTCGCATACAGTCTATTTCATAACGATACATCTGCTGGCTTGCACATGTTAGTTGAAAATGGTAAGATTAGCAAGGACGCACTGACTACGGCTTGGTTCATTTCGACCGTTTTTCGGTGGTTTAGGCTAATGACATCAAGGACTAGTAAACTGGCGTTTAGCCATTCAGTGCAAGCAGCTTATGGTGAAGCTGTTAAGTTCCTTACTGAAATTGTTGACTTATTCTCAAAGATTTCTATAGGGGCTCCGACAAATGCACCTTGGAAATACAGACCGGCATCACTGTCGCCACATTGACTGCATTAGATCTTTAATCTACGATGCTTGACAAGTATAACTTCAGCTATTTCTTATTGAGCAGACTCAGCGAGGACCCACTTGAGAACTTGTTTTCAACCCTGTGCTCGAAAAACCCCATTCCGAGATTGTATGAATTCAAGTGCAGTCTGAGGAGTGCTACGTTAGCACAGTTCTTAAGGCCGAGCAAGAACGCCAGTTATTCGGATGATGGAGCGTTTACGCTGTTATCCCTTGAAGACCAGCCGAACAATGAGGGTCAGGAGCAAGTGCAACTTCCAGATGACCTACTCGATCTAACAAGTGAAGCAGATCAGTCGATAGAATACTTGGCAGGGTATGTTGTATCCAAACTGCTGAAACGGCTGCACTGTGAAAACTGCCGCGCCGCACTCGTCAGCGATAAGGCACCAGCAAAACTAATCTCACTGAAGAACTTCTCAGAGTCGGGCCTTGCGCTGGTTAACCCTTCGCCTGCTGTCGTGGAGATTCTCAAGGTGACGGAAAACTTATTCAGAAGCAACAGAGAGGCACTCATAAAAACACTGTGACCGCTGTAGAACTTCAGGCTGCAGTCCCTAGAAGCATTTCCATCGTGACTTGTTTCCCTGCATGCCATGAAATCATTAAAGATATTGTAGGCGTCTATGCCAAACTGCGAATTCACATTCTTGTCAGAAACGAGGCATCAAAAATAGTCCCCGCTACAAACGGCAAGTGTGCAAGCAAAAGCGTTGGCATGCACGTCGCTGCGGCAAACATACGCTGACAATTGTGCCCGCCTGCAGCAGATGCGATTTATTTCGTCGTTGCGTGTGTAGCGCTAGAATAACGACGTTTGTAGCATGCGCAGTACCTCTGAACAATATATATGTAGGTAGACCTTTACTGTATGAGAGCTGTCTTGCTGTTCATGTAACCCATGTAGAGATATCTTGGGCGTAAATAGCATGCGCCTTGGCTTCGAATTTCTTACAACGAGCGGTTCTTCATTGTTGCGCAAAAATAAACGTGTTGCTACTGAAATTTCTTTTCTTCTTCAGCTAACTGCACAGTGAGCCTACATGCATTTTCTTGGTTCACTGGACACAGTGAATTTACGGCAAGTAAAACTACCTTCCTATTGCAATCATAGTTACATATTCCTCAAAATTTAGTTAATATGATAAACTATGTTCAAGAAATTAACGACAAACAACTCAGTCGAGGAGAAATACTTCGTAGCTAGAGTAGTACATTTTTAGAACCACATACCAGTCCGGTCCGGAACCTTCCGCGCCGCCTTGATTATTTTGTAGTTCAATGCCATCAGTTATGAAACACCGGTAGCATTTTTAATTGAATTATTCTTTTGAATAAAATCAAACGATTATACTCCTTCGACCTTCGTGCATATAGAAGAACATATGTTGGTTAGGCTAAAGTAAAACATCTCACAGGGTTCCTTATGCGTTCATTTAGGACGACTCGAAGGCGAAAACAATCTTCTTTTTCCTCTCAGCCATTGTATTTAGGTGTATTGATGCTGCCCCGCCACCCTTCCAAAGCTTTCTGCACCTATCGTGATTTTGCACTACCTCCAAGTTTGGAGGCACCCCGCCTGGTTTTGCATTGCCTCCGTGATCGGTACACCTTTGACCAAGCTACGACGCGATGTGATGACGTCACGTAGCGTCACATGATGACGTCATCACATCGCGTCGTAGCTTTGTCAAAGATGTACCGATCACGGAGGCAATGCAAAACCAGGTGGGGTGCCTCAGGACGTCACAAATTTTGGCGATCTGGGACGTGTTTGGTGACGTCACCAGATGATGACCTTTTTCATCACTATATATAGTCACCGACGCCACGGGACGCGAGACGCCTTCGACGCGGGTCGCCGACGGTCAATTTCTGCGTTTGATGAGGCAGCTAAGGCTTTCGTCTTAATAAGTCAATTAACAACCGCTCAATGATATCTTGGCAGCAGCCGTAAAGTAAATAGCCATACGCATGGAAGCAAAGTTACGTATCTGGTATATGTATGTATTATGCGTGTATGCTCATATAAAGAAAGAGCCACGTACGCGCTTTTCGTAATGGCTCTCTTCTGATAAACTTTACATCCTGAATTCTGTGAGTTAATTATAGCGTAACATAGTCTTAGAAGCTTCCTTCTGAGCGGTGGGTTTTGCTTTTTTTTTAACAGACTGAGGTAAGTCCCAAAGTTAATGGAATGCAATATCTCGTCGTTTCATCGTGACGGAAGCCAGGCACGCACGGTGACTTCTATGCTTGCTTTTCGCCAACACAACATGAATTTTACAAAGTGACACTGCAGCACTTATCAAGTTCTCGTCTATACAATGTGCTGCCTACATTACATGCGCTTAATACCCATCCGCGTTACAGACAGCCGAAGCGGCGACGGAGAGGTAAACCGCTAAGCCGCCAGCTGGTATGCTCATTTTTTCGAAGCACTTCCGCTCGTATTTATCGAATCGTCTTAAAAAATATGTCTGCCATAATGTTCTATGGGAAGCCTACTTTCGTCACGACTCTTTCTTAAGGGACATATTCCCGTATAATGCTTCAAGGAGCCGATTAAACAAGCGCGCGCATTGAATCTAATGCGGCTGCAGCGAGCCAGTGGAGGGTTCAGCGTGCCGTGCGCACCGCGCCGGCCGGGAGAGGGGAGAAATCTGAGGAGAATTGAGGAGGAAAACGCGCGCGCGGAGGAAAGTCGCTACTTTCTAGATCTAGGGGCTTTATGACAACGTGGGCCTGTTAACGGTGAGTGTACTGTTTTCGTAAATAGTAATCATACAGCGCTAGCTGGGCGCCTGCAGCAGCTCTGCCGAAGTAGGCTGCCAGCCATTTACAACAGCATGCGTTCGCGGGCCTGTTGCAGATGCCCGATTAAACGTGTGACTTGACGAGTTCACACTGCTATGCGCGATGTTGTGTAAGTGCCTGCATCACTCATACAGTGAGTGATGTGATCACTTAACAAGGGCGGGATTAGTTGATGATCGCACATTGTCTCTACACTGCACAAAGTGATTGATATTGTTTTAAGATGTGCTTTGGGCTACATCGTAATAACATTTCTATTAATACTCAAATGTGCAATGTGCTTCTGTAGGTGTAAGCGCAAAAAAAAAGAAAAAGCAAAAATTATGTACAGAGGCGCACTGTACGAAATCACCTTTTTTTTTTTGCTTAAAGACGGTATAGTTGGAGGTGCTGATATGCCGCGATGCTCCCAGCACGTGCGCCTCGGTCTTTTAAGCTATTTAGGACAAGTGCCACCAGCAACAGGGAAAGATCTAGCAGACTTCCAAAGGCGCGTTGTTGTGGCCATCGCCGTGCGTTGTTTTCCCTCGTTTCTGTTTGCTGTTTTCGTGCTTCGCTTTCATCTGCGATAATGTTCGGCGTTATAACAGAATCGAGAGAGTATACGTGACTGTTCGAGCTATGTGCGGTAGCTCTAGCATAAGCCATGGCTGCTGCAACGTAGTCGGCGTCCGCGCGCGTTGGTGTCGTTCGAGCGCTCTTACTTGCGTGATTGTGTTTAACTGAGTATTTAGGCACGGTTACGTTTGTAAATCCCGTAGTCAATAATCGCTAATAGCGTGCCCCTGATTGCCATCAGAGGATGGGCTTGGTTGT